GCAGGTCATGCATAGCGCTGAGACCCGAATTGTTTGCAGTGCGTGGCCACAGGTAAATTGCAGTGTCTAAAACTGGGTGTAACGGTTTTTAGTGTTATTTGTTAGCACCAGTGACTGCAGGGGTGTCGAGGGGCGGTGTCCTGCAGGTTTTAGGTATCATCCCGGGTCAGGGTTAGGTTGATTAGTTCATTAGCGGGCCTCTGGAGAACTTCAAGTCATGTTGAGGAGGTCATTTAGCCATTTAAATCAGCTGTGTCTGATCAAGGACACACCTAAAATCTGCAGGACACTGGCTGTCGAGGCCTGGAGTTTGACACCCCTGCTGTAGAGTCATTGATTCGCACCTTTGGTTTGATGGTCTTGTGTGCAGCTGGGATATTAGTAGAACGGGGGTGTCCAACTGCAGTCCTCGAGAGCTATCGTCCTTCAGCTTTTAGACTCGTCCTTGTTCCGACACACCTCAATCAAATGAATGGCTTGTTATCAGGCCTTTGCCAAATTTGATGGCCTACTGAAGAGGTAATTCAACCATTTGATTCAACTGTGTTGGAGTGAGGATGCATGTAAAAGCTGCAGGACGGTAGCTCTCCAGGACTGGAGTTGGACACCCCAGTAGTAAAATGTTTTGTAAGTCCTGTCTGGAAATGAATGGGGAAATGTATGTCTAACTCATGGAATAAATAAATCATACATTTATTTCTTTGACATTTTATTCAACACATTAGTGCTCGGTTACACAAACAAACAAAAAACCCAATATTTATCCCCAAGAAGGCGAGAGCATGTTTTAAACTCTTTTACTCTCATTGCAAAACTTAGTGAGTAAAAAGTTTCCAGAAGTGCGTGAATGCAACACTAGGCCATAGAAACCAGAGGTTCAGTGTACCTTAGCAACCATGGAGAACGAGCTTTCCTTGATCGAGGAAAATGGCGAGGTCACGCAAGAACAGAAGAAACTCATTTACAAACGGATCGAAGAACTAAAGTAATGACAGTTCATATTTATTAAACTAAAAATAACTCCGTCCTATCGGCTGTAACCCTACAACTGACTTTATTTAACTTATTCCGTATAACCCACCAAAGTTACTTGCTAATGCTCTGCTAATGGTC